CGAAATTTCTGCGATACATGGTAGCTTGTTATTAGTTCTTAAATGAAACGGTTTAGGAATAATACTTTAAAAATTACTCATATCTCCGACTACATCGCTCAATTGATTTTTAACTTCTTACGCCTATTTAATTGTTTGAATAGAAAACAATTTTATTTGCTTCGATAAGAGACCTTGTTTTTGAAATAAAAAAATAACTAGGGCTGAATCTGTAACCCAATTACCAACAAATAGTGTTCGCGTTAATAGAAAAATTATTAAAAAATGTTAACTAAAATTTTGGTGGGAAACATTTACATGAATAAAGTAAAAATGTTCTTCGGACATACAAAATCACGCTAATTTCTGCGAGCAAAAAAATTTTACATATTTGTAACCGTAACCAGCTGTTGTTGAAACGATAATTTTTAATCGAAAATTTCCCAATCCGAAACCCAAACATATGTAGGTTGGTCTTTTTATTGAAAATGAATTGTAATAAAATGCATAATATGATAATTTATATATCACAGTTGAAATTTAACATAAAATGTGAGTACACCGCCAGAATGTGGATAAAGAGCTAATTACACTTCGGTTACTAGGCTAGCAGTAGTAGTACGCCATGAGCTAGTACTATTTGACAATACGGGACGTACCTACGTAATAATAGACAATACGCGGGCGGTGGCGTACACCGGACGAATAACATATGTTACCATATACAACCTTGTATAGTAAACACATGATGTTCGCACACAACAATGATTATCTCAAATGTGACTATCCGCGTGACTATTTTTAAACGTGTTTTTGATACTAACGAATTGCATTTCGTGATGGTTGTGGCCATACTACAGTTATAAACGGAATGAGTTTTTGTACACCATTACTACAAGTTTTGAATTGTGAGTTAAATATTACGGTCCTCGCAGCAGCCTGTGCTGTGTTTTGAAACGGACGGCTGCCACGATACGGCCATTGCCAACATGGCTTCACAGTAAATAGAAGGATCTGCGAATGTTATATGTAACTTTTATGCACTGATCGTCCCGTAACTTAGCTACCAGCTAAATTACTGGACTTAGTTACATGCCGTGTTGTTGGTTCGATCGCCAAATGTGAAAGAAACTTTATGAGTAATATGTAAATAAAAATAATAAGTAAATTGTTGTTCCGAGTTACATTCAGTCCGCGATTTTTCTAGTTTGTAAAACTTGACAAGGCAGGATTTACTTCCTATTGCAGGATTCGTTTTCTTCTTCAAAGAATATATTTTTAGAACCAACGACGTTGAAAGAAATATTTCTTGCTTCTTAGCGCGGTTTCAGTGGAATTTCAATTTGTGTTTTTTTATATATATATATTCGCAATTCATTGCTGGAATCTCGGCCACGGTCAGCGACTTTGTTCGCCTCAGTCGTTGTTTTTCAATTAGGGCGGTAATGCGGCAAATTGTGCTGCAAAATTTCGCTTACGATTTCATTACATATGTAGATGGATGACCACCTACAAACATTAATTGTGATACATGCTCTACTGTAATTAACGGTAAATTAGTTACTTCTGAGATAAAAGAATTATTTTTAAATTTTTTGGCGCGTTAGGCATAAAGTTATGAAAGTGATTCTTTATGATGCACATCGCCAACAAATTAACACCATGATGTTGGTCGATAGTATCGAGGGATGTATCGACTCGATACATCCCTCCTTTAGTAATGTGGCAAACTTTAATGACGTATCAGCGCCTAAAAATATTCAGAATGAAATATCTTGGAAATGGAATACACAGTAACACAAAGTATGACACGTTTCTTTTAAATTGATATTAACATCTTATTAGGTACATTAACATTAATACTAAGAATTATATATGTAAAGATTGTGGTTATCTTGGGGACACACATATATCGTGTTTAAATCGCTACAAGAAAGCCTCTATTCGCTGTACGCGGGCGATGCTCCAATTGATATGTCACCCTTGTCATACCCGGTTACGGCGTTCCTTTCACACATTTTCTATTATACGTTTCGTACACGACGATATTAATCTAAAGTGTCCGCACATGCCTCGTTATCTTCATAACGTGTATCGCTTTCACGCCGGGTTTTATTTTTAAAAAAATACGTTAAGGTTTTTTTTTGTTTTTTGTCTGTCTTTAATCTCCGTCTTTTTGTGCCCTTCGCACTATAACAGGTACCACGTGTATAACCAACAGTCACCTTTGGTACTCCATATCCCTGTATTCCCCATTTAGGTCTCATCTGTTCCTAGATCTCAGCTGTTTTATCTATTGCCATAGAATTCGGCAATTTTTAAAACAAATATAGCCTTCACGTGTCACTTTAATTTTATACATGGCATTTTTTGCATTGTTCCTAAAAGGCGATAACGCAAAAACAGGTCCGACTATCGAGACTAGTCTTGTTGGTATAACCAATTAGGTGACTCAATTCGTGCCAACTCTTTTTTTTATATCAGCAACATACACATTGCGAAAAGAAATTCTTCAATTTTAATTATCATTTATAACAAACAATTCCACGGTGCGTGCGGCGATAGTGGTTACCACGTGGTTGATTACTCCCACCGCTTATTATTCGGTAGAAAGCGTTTATCGTATCATACTACTACTAGTGACCCGCCCCGGCTTCGCACGGGTGCAATGTATTATACATATAATCCAAATTCAAATCATTTATTCATCGAAATAAGAAACATACGTTTCATTTATCGATAGTTGTTTTTTAAATCTCCCACCGTTTCGTAATGAGGCTCCTCTAACGGAGAAGAAACAGGCGAAAAAAACTCCGTAGTTATCCTCTTTTTTGTCATATTTTTTTCTCAACAAAAACATTGTTATTCAGCTTAGGAGTGATCATTTCATTCCCAGGGGTTATTATCGTTAATGTATTCATTTATATTATAATAACCCTTTTTTTAAACCATCTAGTAAAAAAAAAATCATTTTATCTACTAAAAAAAAAACATCAAGATCCGTTGCGTAGTTTCAAAGATATAAGCATACATAAGGACAGACCGCTGTCTGTCTGTCCCTAAAGACGACTTAGTTTTATACTAAGTAGTGATGTACAAGTGTTGATCCCTCAAATTGGGTCAATGGAGCACCCGATCAAAAGGCGCCTATTTAAAATGACTATAAAACCCTGATCGAGTGACGCCTACCTCCGTTGACTTATCGAGCGCCCAGTGTCGGGGGAGATTGCTCCATCGCTATGTGATAGAACGTCTCATTATCGAACCGTAATGAGGGCGAGTGCCAGATAAAGCAGTTTCAATGTTAGAACACGCATTTAATTTGTAAACTTTGAATCGATGGCGAACGGCGCGAAAACATCTTTTATGTAATCCGCTGTTATACTGGTGCTAGTAAATTTTAACGCAGGGAATATTTGTATTTTTGTTATTTTTTTTCACGAAAAAAGGCAAACTAGCAGTATGCTCACCTGATGGTAATTGATCACCGCCGTCCTCCCCGTGATAAATGCGGTAGAGGATGTAGAGTGATATAACATAGAGATGTTATATCACTCTACATTCTATAGCGTAGAGACGCAGTGCTAAAATACCAAGCCGATCGGGAAGACTGGTAATAGAGGGCTCCCACCCAGAGATGAGAACAGCACTCCATGTGGGGCCAAATTTGCGCCTTATAGAGGCTTAGGCGTTAAACCGACGTGAAGTACTGTCTTGTAAAAAGTAAAGTACTGTATAAATAAAACTTTTTTAAAAACCAGCCAAGTACGAGTCGTACTCGCACACGAAGGGTTCCGTAGGATTCTATAAAACCATCTAAGTGCGAGTCAGATACGCGTACGAAAGGTTCCGTACCATTATCTATATATACGGCAAAATAATCATGTCTGTTGTATGGGCGCTCCCTTAATTTTTTTTAATTTATTATGTTTTTAGTGTTTTCTGTTCTAGGGGCAACAGAAGTAATTAAATCATCTGTGGAAATTTCAACTCTCTAACTATCACGGTTCATGAGATATAGCCCAGTGACAGACGTACAGACAGACAGACAGCGGAGTCTTAGTAATAGGGTCCTAAATATTGGCTTTGCGTTACGGAGTTAACCTTTTATAGTTTTCTAATCATAAATTGTAATGTAACTTTCTAGCTTCGAAATACTAAAAAATGCTGTAGAAAAGCTGAAACCAGTTTGGTTCGTCATATTGAAATTAAAATTTAATCGTAAAGTTAATGAAAATTTGGACGCCTCGTGCAAAATTTGATGAAACATACTTTAGGGCAGGTAAGTATGAATTTTTATATACTTGAAATATGCACTCCTTTTGCCGTATTTGATATTCAACTAATATATGTTTTAAATTAAATACCTATCGTATTTACTTTTTACTAAAGAAGTTTTTTTGTCACAAAATATTTTAGAATTCACGTGTAGATTCAATTGGTACGTGTCTAGTCTCATTCCGTTTCGTCTCGTAACTCGCTTTCTTTTATGCTACTGAAATTACAATTCTGAGCAGGCTTGGAAAATTCTTGTCTTTTTCCAAGTTATTGCAATTGTATTATTCTATATTCTTTTAAAATTATACTGATCGTTACAATAGTCGGCTGCGAGAGAATTCTCTGACATTAAGATGGTTTATAGATGGTTATCTCACAAATTTGCAGCGTTTATTCCACCATAGATAATAAACCGAAAGAAACACTAATCTATTTTTTAATTAAATTCTTATGTTAATATACCACCAGTCCATTTCCAGTCCAACGTTCCTGTTTTTCCTACTGTTGTCACAGACCATTTGGATAGCTATAATTTTTTCATATCAGACGAATGAAAGTAGTCGAGTCGTTTTCATCATTCATATTATTTCAATTCACAATCATAATGGGTTCAGACTGTTCCATTTCAACCACCGACTTGTTTCCACAACGCTTAACGGAATAGTTTCCGTCGTGTCCGTACGATACTATCGTTTGAAAGCGGCGACGTTTGATTTGCCGGGAAGATCGCGGGGGTTCATTCAACTGTGAGGAGACCCCGCGTCGTCTGGTGCCAGCGGAGCCCTTGTCGTGTCGGCGGCGTCCCAATCGCAGCCAGTTGGGACGGCCCGAGCCGCCGCGGCGCCGCGTGACGTCATCGCTTCACCCTCCGATAACACTCCCATAGCGGCAGGGGCAAACGTGGAACTCGTGCCGTGTTCGCCTCCACTTTCCCGCTTCCCTTTGGAGACCCGTTCTCCGTTCACATTGGATTCCTTTTAGGAAGTTTTTATCGCGTTATGTTTCGGCGATGACGTCACGTGGACTCGGCGGAATCGACGCATATAAATCCCATTTTTGGGTGGACGGCACCGAGGGAGTGTAGCAATGAGTCTGCTATTCTCTGCGATATTCCGCCCACAATTTAATAATAGATGTTTTTCATATAAGTTCTATCGAAGATTCACATATTATACATAAACAGCGAAATAACAAACGCTTATCTATGTCTGGTCACTGTTCATTATTCAATTTAATGATGATTGTTATTATTGGATTATATATGGAATGATCCGTTAAATTGTACTCCCCGTATGCGTCTTAAAGTCGCAGAATTCATCGTTTTTGACGTCTAAAATAATTTAGCGCGCAGGTGCAGGTTTAACATGTCGCAACGATCGAGATCGCCGCATCTGTCTTTTAAGCACCTGTCCCAGAAGATACCGTTACACGCTATTTGTCCTTCAAAATAAGTACTTACTCGTAGGCGGCCTTAATTTACCGTAAGAATGGGGTACACACCCGTGCCGGCACCTCGGAACTTATCTTATTACCAGTTCTCTCCCGCTTTGAAGCAACTCGTTAACATAATTGCCGGATGGCTCTCGTCTTTCCTACGTCTTGCCGTGACCCCATCAGCCGAAACGACGCGTTACTCAAGAGAGCGTGTCGCCGTGCCCTTCGCCCGTTTCATATCGCGCGAAAACCGCGAGACCCTTTAATGTTTTTGCGTCGAAATGTTTTTCAACATCAAACATATGAAGTTGTATTCCAACCCGCGTTTCGGTACTAACATAATTGTACCTGATAATTCTCCTTATGCTATAAGAACTACATTCTAAAGTAGGGTGATACTTTAGACTTTCTAAAGTCTAAAGTATCACCCTACTTTAGAATGTAGATAGATTTTTACACGTGCTCATTATGAAAACTAAAACTACTTGACTCGAAGTTTAGGAATTTAAATAAGTCAGCGAGTTTCCTATCATCGCAGATACATAAGTCCGATATTAGTTTAGTAGTACTTTTCGTAAAGTTAAGGAAAGAGGGAGTATCCTAGATTCCAATCACGTGGGTCAATCGGTGGAAGTAATCTGGCGCTCGGTTCAAGGCTGATGGACTGTAGCTGGGAAAGTGTCACACGTAAACGCTGACCAAGGTTTAGTTCTCGGCCGCGTGAGGTGTCAGCTCTGACGTCATCAAGGTTACACGCGTTATATCACACCGGCCTGCCACCGAGTGTTGTGCTTCCGTTGTCTGTGCTCCGTTTAGCGAAGACGCTGTGATTATCAATTGATCAGTTTTTGCTATCTTTTTTAATCTTTTCTAACATTATTAAGTTGTTGTTACTTACGGAAGGGTTTTCTGGTGGAGTTGACCTTATTTTCCTTTATACGAAAACAAAAAATACCTTGAAGATAGTTGGTGTACGACCGAATTTTCGGTTTCGATCTATATTAATCTACGGTGCTAGGGCCACGCAGCAGTCTCGGCTGTTGCACGAATGGGGAGGCTCGTCCGGGTAAGTACCACGACCTCACAGAAAACCGGCGTAAAGTGGAAGTATAATACTTTCGCGTTTCGTCTGGTGAGTGAGGTGGCCGGAGCCCAATTGTCAAAAGGTTGTCAACGCATCTGCAACCCTTGAGTGTAGTAGATGTCCATGGGCGGCGGTATTCACTTAACATCAGGTGAACCGTCTGCTCACTTGGCAACTTTTCACATAAAAAAAATATAAAAAAAAAATTGGTTTAAAAGCGGGTTTCAAATTAGTTTCGGTTTCAGCTGCCGTTTGGGCGAAACTGAAATGGCCGAAAACGGAACTGTATTCAAAAAGTTTTGTGATGTGTCCAATCATATTCAATAAAAAGTAATCTTTTGTATTTGTTCGCTCCATGTCGCTATCAGACTGAATGATAAAAACACTGTATACATGAAAATGATTACTTAATTTTTCCCACTAAATAAGACCTTAATTTGAAGTATGAAGTTTCGGATTCGGTGTCGGTTTCGTTTTTGGCCGAAACTGAGGCCGAAAACTAATTTCGGTCGTACGCTAGACTGTATATATTCCGAATAGCGTACTGTCGCTTTCGAATTTGAAGCAATAATACCAGCTTCAATTACCTTTGTAGTTTAATAATCACAATATGTCGCCTAATCAACTAAATTTTGTATAATTAATTTTCTTTGTAAAACAGTCGCGGGAAAATGTTTATTTGAAGTGAAGTGAAACATCTCATACATTAAGATATTGCCGTTTGAGTAAATAATACCAAGTAGGCCGTGAAATGACGCAACTGTTTTCATATTGTTTGCTGTCACGGTGGGTCGCGTCTCGGCTAAAGCCTTTGAGGGTCAAATCGTATATATAGCGCATACGTTTGCTCTTGCTAAAAATTTTATTGGATGGTTATTGACATGAATTGTTTATTGATTAAAATATGACCTACATGTGGTTTTCTTTATGCGACGAACGAATTTTAAAGTAATTTTATTAAAAAGAATGTGCCTAACATTGGTACATGAAATCTGTATGGTACATGTTATGCCTATAATATAAATATCAGTAAGCTCCATTCGCTATATCTTTTCGAAACATTAACGCCTTCTAAGTTTCCGCCCACGTTCTTTATGTTTGCGAATGTCGTGTTCAACAATCATAACACTATTTTTGGTTACGACCAAGACGAGGCAAAACATGTTTCGCTTGCCTATATTATCATACGCATATCGTGTTTCTACGCGAGCATACGTAGAAACATGCGAGATTGGTATGCGTTACAGAAACTTATTACCTTTGCGACACATCCGTCGGGAGATATGATAATATCCGATATATAGGGCTGGGGCACGCCATGTTTTTGCGAATGTTTTTTTTTTGCAGAAGAGTTCGCGTCTACACGCATAAAGATATATCAGAATAAATAAACTATTTTTAAATAAAGTACATAAAATATTTTGACGATATTGAAACATCACTACTACAAAACCAAGTTGTCGCGCTGTCTGTCTGTCCCTATGTATGCTTAAGTCTTTAAAACTACGCAACGGATCTTGATGCGGTTTTTTTTTACTAGACAGAGTGGTTCAAGAGGAAGGTTTATACGTATAATACATTGAACCCGTGCTGTATTAAGCCGGGGCGGGTCGCCGGTGGTTAATATAAAACGTAACTGTTGAAAAAAACGAACAGTAATGATTTCAGCAGTTTTAAGTACAATATATTATGTTAACACTACTTCTTAGACAACTTTAATTTTTTTTTAAAGGATACTCTCGTAGAAATCTACACGGTCGACTGCTAATGCCCTCGCATCCCCCTCATTACAGTAAGCGTCTTCGTGAATTTGCTTTCTACGATAAAGTCATGTCTCTATGGGGGGTGGCAATATACGACAAGGGCAATATTCGTGTAAGCCTTCCTCCGGGACAATGCCTCTCCCCGCAGATGTTATCGGAGTCGCATAGGTACCTACGGTTTTTCTTAATTCGCCGAACGGGTTGCTTCTCCACGATTCACAGAAGCCGTTTAATGTATTTTGGTTATCCATGTATAGTGTAAAATTGCGTGAAGTCTGTAACAAAGGATATTGATAGTTAAATATAAGGATAATTATCTCTGCTTAGCCTTAATGAATCTATATATATAAAAATTAATCCCTATTTCCCTTGGTCACGCCATCACGCGTGAACGGCTGGACCGATTTCACTTTTTTTGTGTGTTGTGTTTGTTATTGTAAAGAGAAGGTTATGAAGGAAAGAAAAAATTTAAAAAATTGCGCGGAAACTTAGAAAATTTAAGAATACTTAACAACCATGTAATATAATTTCTAATTTAACTTCTTTCAGATATTGTTTCCATGTTTTTCACATGGCCAGTTATATGTCGCCTGTTCCCGTGTTGGAATACCAAGAAAACTCTTATATACGCGCAAGAAAAAAAATCAAGAATATTGTATATCATAAAGCATTAGAATAATAAACACACTTTTTTTTATTAATTATACCAATTCGAATTAAATAGTCATCGTTAAGACAGGACAACGTCTGTTGGGTCAGCTAGTCATTTCATAAAATTTGTTAAGCCACCAAATAAGACAGGTGATGAGCCTATTGTCATACGATAGGCTAAAATGTGAGGCCGTGGTGCATGTATATTAAATCTATTTTTTGTTATTCGCCTTAAGAGTATTAATATTGTAAACTGTATATCAGATGACGATATTGTGATACTAGGTATGATGATATGACGGACAGATGGATATGACGGAAACTTTCGTAAAATCGGGTTGTAACTGTAGCCCCCCTCTTTATGCATATATATAATTAAACTTATATATATTTCTGCCCCGTTATATGAATAAATCATATAACATCATTACGTGACCAGGATAAATTATTGATCTTTCTATAGGATCTTTCTAAAGGTAATAATTAGCCGTATAAATATTATTGTGATCGTCATATTCGGTAGGACCTCATTTACATTGTGTTTATTTAGTAACTTGATTATTTTAGGTGTATCTTGGATAGATAAATATTCACTAGTCGTGGTATAAGCCAGAGATAATGTCAGATTGCTTTCTTAACAACTAATCCCGTATATAGTATACTCCCTCTCACGCTTGTAAAGGGCTCACAATTTAATTTTAAACTAATATCCCTTCTCTCTTGAAAAGGGCTCACATCAATTTTACATACCCTCACCAACGCCGTGTGCGGTGAGCGCCAACCAACATATTGCGCCCCCCCCCCCCCCCCCCCAGAAGAGGGACAAAAAGTTGGGGAAAGGACCGAAGTCCATTGCAAAGCTGTTTTACCAGCATAAAGAGGGCTTGGCCCCTTGGCAGTGCGTAAGCACAAACTTTGACCGAAGTCGCGCATGTCAATGCGTGTAAACGTCATACAAGTCAACAACAAATCCAGTCTTCGTGAATGTACGTCAATACGGTTTTGGGCATGTGTTAAAGATCAGGCACTCTGGCCCTATGATATAATAAGCCCTCCGTAAGCGCCACCACTTTTGCCAGATCGCCGTGACTGCAGACGTGATTGTTAGTGTTTTGGCATCACCACCATTACAAAGTTAGCACGACATTTCGTCGCAGAGCGCGTTATGAGTCACTGCTCACCCCAAGGGTATGGTTAAAACGTTGCACGGCATCGCCGCAGCCTTGAGAGGTTTTCTCCCGCCAGCTACCATCCACATGAGGTAAACGCATATGCTCCACCAACCATTGAAATAGTCAGATATAGCCATAGTTGTGATTTTTATGTTTAGCCATCAGAAGGGTTTATAATTGGCAACATATATTTATTTGTCAGTGTCTCTGACGTTGAGTATAGTGTATTTTCGATCAAGTTTGTCTCACCCACCAGCAAGTTGCCATTATTCGTTCGAACAGTGGGAACTTTACTGAGATTCGTTAATTATGTTAAAACGTATACAGGAGGTCAGACAGTCTGCAGTTCCGTCATCAGGAACCCGACTTGGACAAATCTACTGAGATGTGCATCAAACCGAGACGCAGACTCGGCCATTATGAATAGCGTCGTCTCCCAAGCAAATGTCGTAAGACGCAATGTCACTAAATGCAACATGCATCAATACAACTATCGCAGGTCAACACGCCAACATACAGCCTATCCGCATACACAGCAGACATCATCACCTCGAACCTCCGTCAACCAGAATCATACGATGCAATGATATTAGGCGCAGATCACCCCGCAACTACCACAAGACGCAGTACTGCATATAGCCGCATGCATCAATGTGACTATCGCGTAGGTGTCACACCCTCACACCACACCAATATAATTCCAATCAACTTCGGCTCCAAAGTTTAGAATATACTCGGAACACACGAAGTATCCAAACATACTCTTTCACGATCCGAATGATAGTCGACGTATCATAGCGTAAACACTAAGACGCAAACCACCAACGGACCCCCACCCAAGCCAAGTAATAGCCAACGTATCATAGTGGAATACACTAAGACGCAAGCCACCACCAGACTCCCCAAAGTCAGATGATCAGTCGACGTATCATAGTGCAATACACTAAGACGCCAACTACCACCAAACTCTTACTATGCCGAATGACAGCCAACGTATCATAGTGATGGTTACTAAGACGCCAACTACCACCAGCTATCGATGATATGTCCACCACTCAAGACATATCCATTCATGGTTCCACGTTTACCGTAGACCATATCGTCGTACAGAAGTACCTACCACGCAACTCCATAGTAATATGTCTTATAATGTCCCAAGTCATTAATTGCTCTTCATTATATTTATATATTCATTATTTTTTCTCTGAGCCTTCACATATTATTACTTTTATCCATTAGACCTTACTTCCATATGATATTGGTATGGGACGTTCATACAATGTACTTTGACTATAGTACTAAGAGTCGCGATCGACTTCTGTACTTATAACTAAGTATGGAATTGTATTTAATTGACATAATAGTGATCGTATCTTGCTATATTTTTAATAAATATCCTTTTTTTAGTATTTTAAGTGATTTTTAACTATTTTTTATCAATTTTTGGTAATATCATTTTCTCATACTAACACTTATATTTCTTAAATTTAAGTAATTTAAATATATTATTAACTTTTATTGTGACTAAACGTTCTTAAACGTTTTACTTTCATCTTAATTGATCTTTATTATGACTAATTAATAATAATATTTATTATTATTAATAGGTCGTTACAGGGTGAAGAAAGAAATTTAGTAATTAAAGATTATGAAATCGCATCATATTACTCCCGGAACAAAGGAAGAGGCGGATCGTGCATAATGGTGAAAAAAGTCTTGCCTACAAAAATATAAACTGTTTTAAGACCATAGAAGCACCCTTCCTTTTTGAATGTTGTTCCGTACTAATACCCTCCTCTAATGTTATTATCATTTGTGCTTATAGAAATCCGACTAGACTGAAACATCATATAGATTCATTTTTCCACAAACTTGAAAGCCTATTACATACCTGCAATTCAAATTATTCTAAAAAGAAAATAGTTTATGCGGGTGATATAAATATTAATACTCTAGAAACAAATAGTATAAGTGATCGGCTTATAAACTTACTAACTAAGATATATAATATGACGCTGCATATAACGGACCCTACGAGGGAAAATTCATGTATAGATCGCATAATAAGCAACGTTGAAGATGCAAAGGCTTATGTTATTCCACTATTTCTATCAGACCATCATACAGCTCAAATAATTGATTTCAAAGTACAATCTAAAAGAATAGTAACGGCATCTTATTTCATTTTAAAACGTTGCTATTCTAGGGAAAATGTATCTGTCTAGTATTTTATTTTCTGAGGTATATTCTGAATCGGACTTCAACAGAGCGTTTGATCATTTCTATGAAACATTTGAGCTACTTTATAAATTATGTTTTCCAGTTATTAAAATTAAGTTAAATACGAACCCTCAACTACGTTGGATATCTAAAGGACTTAGAAAAAGTTGTAACACAAAAAAAATTATTCGTTACAAATATTATACAAAGAAAACAAATATTAATAAATTGATATATAAAAATTATTCAAACATGTTAAGAAAATGTATTAATATTTCAAAGAAATGCTGTAATATCCAATACATACAAAATAGTGACAATATTATGAAAGCAACTTGGCGAATAATAAAAAATGAACTAGACAACAAGACAATATGCCGATATATAGATAGTATTGAACATAATAACATGGTCAGAATCGACAGAAATTGCAAATACTTTCAATGACTATTTTATTAAACTGACAAATAAAGAAAACAAGGAAATTACGACAGCAATATCACGGAATAGGCTACGTAACTCGATCTTCTTAACCCCAATTGACGAAAACTATATAAAAAAAAACGATAATGTCATTAAAAAATACGAACTCTGAAGGCTATGACGATATAAGCTCAAAGATAGTAAAAGCATGCAAAAATCAAATGAGCAAGGTACTAGCTTTTCTAGTTAATTTATCGATGGAGACAGGAACTTTTCCGGAAAAATTAAAAATCTCGGTCGTAAAGCCTTTGTATAAGAAAGGTGAGAAGATATCGATTGACAACTATCGTCCAGTGACTCTCATTCCTGTTTTTTCAAAAATATTTGAAAAGGTCATGCATGCAAAATTAACAGACTTTCTCAATACATATAATGTAATAGACAAAAATCAATTTGGCTTCCAAAAGGCTAAGTCAACAACGACTGCCAATTTTAATCTTATAAAGGAGATTTCACTCAAAATAAACCAGAAACTGTTTACGATCGGTGTATTTTTTGACATGTCAAAGGCATTCGATTTCGTTTCGCATAAGCTACTTCTGTCAAAATTGAATCATAATGGTATAAGAGGCCCAGCACACAGTTGGCTGGAATCATATCTAAAAAACAGGAAACAATGTGTTGAAGTGCTTAACCTCAATGAAACAAATATGGTACAAAAACATAAATCGAAATTTAAAATAAATAGATTTGGTGTTCCCCAGGGCAGCGTCCTAGGCCCACTG